CGAAAAGTGCAAAAACGCATAATCGCACCGGCCCGCCTGGTGCGTTCCAGCCTGGGTTTTTTTGTAATTTCTAGGTTATATTGCGCCATGGTCCGGCCGCTTTTATTCACTTTGGGATACCGGATATGCAAAAATTCACATTCCAATCATCGCATCGGTGTCCGAGCATCAACCAACAACTTGGGTGTCATTCTTTTTTGATTTACACATCACGGCTGCGGTTTTTCCAGTTGGCCTATGGTACTGTGTTAAAAATGTCAACGATGAAAGAGTCTTTGGTGAGTGGGTTGGCATGTTTTTTTTTGTTCTGAAACATGAGATTCTTGTCTTTTTTTTTTTGACTTCACGAAGTTATGATTTTCGAACTCTCAGTTAGCATATTAGTTGCCAACACAACAGTGGACAAGTAGCGCTTTTTTCGTACCGTAAATCGAAGTTTCGACTGCGCCACTGGGGTCATAAATTAATCTATGATTTGTCCATTCCTTTCGATGCTAAATTGGTACTGGCACATGCAGGGGAATCGACCAATTCATCGGTTTGCTTTTAAGCAATCCGGGAAATAGGGGGATTTTTGACAACTTTACCAACGAGTGGTTGCTATTGGCAGGTACCCCTCACTGGTGTTAAGTTTGAATGCCTTCTCTTATAGCGATTGAATACGAATAGATTTGGCATAGACTCAACTTTTTTTGCAAGATACGCCGATTTTAAAGTGGATTTTATCATGAGTTTTCCTCTGCTGGAACATGACTTGTCTGATTATTTTTTTTTGATTTGATTTCTATTTTAAGCTTAATTTTCATAGGTTAAAATGGAAAGATTTTGAAAGGTTTGACATGAAAAAAATAAAAACTATAGGGAACTGCTGGTGAATTGCTAAAAAACTTTATTGCAGTGATTCTGTACGCAGTAACAGCCGTTTATTTTGCCGGTGTGATGGTTCGTCTGATGCTTACGCTTACACCTGTTGTTTGTGTGCTTTCTGGCATTGCTTTTTCGCACACCTACGAAAGATATTTGTTTGATGAGAGTGAACAATCCAAAAGGTTTTTTTTGCGTTTTGAATATAAAGTTTCTTGCTTCTTAAAATTACTGTAGGGCGAACAAAATTACTTCTTTAAAAAAGTTAAACTCAAGAAAGTAATTACCCTTGAATGTTTTTTTTTTTTTTTTTTGTAGCAGCAGCGATGAGGAAGAAAGTAAGCATTTGTACGATAAAGCGAGCAAAAATCGAAAAGGTGGATTATGGGCGAATCAGGCAGCAACGGAGGGCGATGATGCAACGATTGGAATGAATGCGCGATCGATTGTTTCAGTAGTTTTGGTGCTGATGCTTCTAATGTTCGTCGTCCATTGCACCTATGTAACAAGCAATGCGTATTCTCATCCATCCGTTGTGCTACAATCACACAGCTCCGATGGGTAAATTCTTTTCCTGATTTCAGTACCCTCTACAACCATGTTAAACAACCAACAATGCCAGTGAGTCAGTCAGTTTTTACAACTTAGGGATGAAACATAGGCCACTTTCCAATATCTCTATGGTTGCAAATGATATTTAGATTAATCCGTTATTTCTGATGCTAATATTCCGCG